AACAACAACTACAGGGCAGAGAAGAGCAATAAGAGGGAGTTAAACGGTGCTCTGTATTTCACTCAGACCAGAGTGGCTGTGGGCAGCACGTAATGGTGCCCAGGCATGTGAACAAGTGGGCAGCCATGGTCTAAGTGAGGAGGCTAGGGCTTGCTCTGCTGGACCCCCAAGCCCAGCCTCCAAAGCGATCCTATCATTGCTCATGCCACTACCTGACAGAGCTGACTGATTGTTATTGTGCCTGGGAAGGCAAGGAAGCAAGCAAACAGGCGTCAGGTTGGGGATCACTGGCCTAAACAGTCAACTATTTCATCACACGGGCGAAGCAGACAGCCCATGCTAAAATTTCTCCTTACACATGCTAAAATTCTCCTTACTGCCAGGTTACTTCAGAGTGAGAGCACTGAGCCATGGGTATTGAGGTTCTCCACAGAGGCTCAGCAAAACACACACATATTAGATGAAGATACTCTATTCTGCCACAAATTTTCAAAATAATCCACAACAGGAAAAACGTAAATCAATCAAGAAACTTTGTGAAATTCAACTGTATTTCCTTCAGATGTAGAAAAAAACAGGGAGGGGAACAAAAATATAACCCCAAAGAAATGAATTAAGAACCAAAAAGGTTTATTGGATACAAAATAAGGGGCCCAATATTTATTTCAATCAGTATAAAACATCAATATACAAATGTGTGACGGTTCCACACTGGTGGAATGAGCTCCCAGATAACATCAGGGCCCTGCGGGATCTTTTACAGTTCCACAGGGCCTGTAAAACAGAGCTCTTCCACCAGGCCTTTGATTAGGAGCCGCCACTGATGAATGTGCCACCGGAACACGCTATGGCCCGTACGAAAAAACAGTAGATATTGCCTCCGTCTATGGGATTGTATGTGGAGCTGCGGTGGCTCAAGTGGTTAAGACGCTGAACTGCAGGCTGTGGAAGGTCAGTAGTTCAGCAGTTCAAGACCCAAGTTGCCACATGACGGAGTGAGCTCCCGTCTCTAGTTCCAGCTCCTGCCAACCTAGCAGTTCGAAAGCAAGACATTGCAAGTAGATAAATAGGTACCACTTCAGTGGGAAGGTAACAGCGTTCTGTGCGCCTTGGTGTTTAGTCATGCCGGCCACATGACCACGGAAACGTCTTCGGACAGTGCTGGCTCTTCGGCTTTAAAACGGAGATGAGCACCGCAACCCTAGAGTCGGATTCGACTGGCTTTCGAGCAAGGGAACCTTTACCTTTACCTTTTTATGGGATTGTATATTGAAGCCGCCATCATCTGCATTGCTCTTATCAGAATTTTATGATGTTAGGTAGTTTATGTATATTTTATTGTATTTACTGTTTTATTGCTTTTAATGTTTGTTCACCGCCTTGAGCCAGTTCTCTGGCAAGGCGGGATACACATTGAAAATAATAAATAATAATGCAAATAATACAAAATACAATAATACAAAAATACATGTATTTATTACAAATTGGTTTAAAAACAACTATAGGTTCAAATATAGACAGTCACTATATACTATTAGGTTACACTGGCTCCATATTACTTTTCAAATTCATTCTTTTGGATCACATTAGGAAGGAACATACTTGTACTACCATTTGGATTACACGTATCTGATTTGGACACAAAGTAATACTATATAAGGCCTATAAAGTACATCCCTGCCTTGAATCACTGTTGTCTATCAGAATATAATTCTCACTTGGTCCTATATGGTCTCATATTATTATTGCAATAATTGAGCCTATGTGTCACCTTTATGCTTGACCACTGAAGAAGGGCCAGTAAGTTGAAACGAGTCTGCTTTAGGGTCGCACAAGGTCTGAATTTTGAAATGTTGTATGAACTGTATTCTTATTGAGGCTATATTTGGGCCTATAATTGTTTTCAAACCAATTTGTAATAAATACATGTATTTATGTATAATTTGCATTATTTATAATTTTTCCCCCTTCAGATGTGCCATCTGGAGAGGTTAGCAGACAATTTACTTACTTGAGAAACCTCAGATGAGATTTTGAGACTATCCCCATGTTTCCGAAGTCTAGGTAAAACACTTCCACTTCCTGGTCACTGCAGACACGATGGATGACACCTCGGTACCACCACTTGTCTTGTAAGTTCCTTACGCAACAAAGATGGCCAGGCTTGACTGAGGCTTCAGGCATGACATAACGGTCAGCTACATTTTTACTAGCATAGCATCGTCTGAAAGATACAAAAATAACCAGATCACTGAAAGACTAACGTCCAGGAGTTTGAAGCCATCGAGGAATTCAGGGGAGGGCAGGGGGAGAATGACTGGGAAATTTTTCAAACCAATTATTTCCACCACCAAGATACTGTATGGGTATTAAGCAGGCCGATTCATATCCCTCTACTACCCACCCCCCAAAGAAAATGGTTCACCACATTCTGAGGGCAATGAGCATGCTTAGACTTCATCAAGCAGTAGGGGTGGACTATAATTCACAAACCAACACTCTCTTAGAGAGCTAGGGGGGAAACCACTCAAGTATGCAGAATCCTTGACCTTTTAGGAGGTGGGCACTTATTGTTTAGGACAGAAACCTCATGGTGGTCAAGGGGCTATCAAGGGGAACAAGCTGGGTGACCACACGAAATCACAGAAAACAGAAAATCACAACATGGAAAAAAAGATTTGGAAGTCATTTTCCCCTAAACCTCCATCTCCAAATGTATGTATAGCAGTTTTCCCTTCCTTTCACTGAGTTTCAACATTCTATGCTCATGCCATTTCTTTTGTTTCCCATACTCCCCCTTTGAGTAATCCAAAGTCATATGCCAACTGTTGTCCTACGATGGAGATAAATGCCTTTAAATGAGTGTTCCCTGCAGATGATAAAAGCCGTGTCTCCTGAGCTTTTCTGAAGCACCAAGGAGGCACGAAAGTTAGGACTGGTTCTTGGTTTTGGAAGGAAAAGGCTATTTGGTTTCCATGTCCAAAGAAAGAGGAAGGATTGCTCCCTGCGTGGCCAAGGCATGTCCAAGTACAGGGACATAAAACGGTCTGTGTATGGCTAGAGTGTGGGTGTATGGCTATGATGTGACTTGTTGGGTAGGAAGGTCTCCAATTCAAGACTCTTTGGATTTTAGCCCCAAAGTTCAAAACTAGATGGACATCAGGAAACACACCGATGACACAACTGTACTCCTGTACTCCTAGGCTCTCCACTGGCGATCATTGCACTGGGACCCAGGCATCCACAGTAGCTGCCCTAGTTCTCTGGCATGCTTTTCCCCAGGATGTAGACACATATCACTATTTGCCTCCTTTCAGAGGCAGACTGATGTGCTTTTAATCTGACCACACTGTTGAAAGGAGAGCCTTCAATTTCTCATAATTTAACTGAGCTGGAAGAGTATCCTGCTCCTATTTGCTTTCTGGATTTTCAGCAATCTCTTTAGTTGGTTTTCTTCTTACAGTTTTATTCTCATATTGAAAACTGCCTTGGAGGTCAGTGTTGAAAGACAGCATACATATATGCTAAATAAAATGACAAATGCAAAAGAGAGGTCAAGCTTTAACTCACACACGTGGATTCACTCTTGCCAGACATGACAAATGGAGAAATGTTTGTGCACACGGGTTTCAATCACATCCACACTTGCACAAAATCAAGGCAGTCACAGCAACTTCTCTTTGCCCCAGAAATCATACCCAATTCACATGCAAAGCCCAGACATCCCCATGGCTAAGAACATCCTCACCTCATTTCAACCATCATATCTTCCAGTTTCTCAGACGTTTCTGCACCATAAAATTGGACATGGAACTGAGAAGGAGAGACCACATACTCCACAGACACCCCCACCAAAGTAGCGCTCTCCAGCTGAGGGAGGTAATGGAGGCGCCTGTCCTGGACAGCATCTGGTGGGATTTCTTCATGCATTATCTCCTGCATTATATGAGGCTCTTCCAGAGCCAGGTGCTACAACCAAGAGAGGATTTCACATTCAGCCAAATAGTTCAGAAGAAGCCCCCAAGGTTTATGTCTGAGACACAAGACATGGGAAGTCTTACCAATGTGAAACCTTCATCCCAGTACAAATACACCCAAGCCCATTTCCCCCCAACACTTGACAGAGAGAATACACAGTGCCGTACAACCCACATCACGCCCACCTCCATTTTCCTTACATGATAAATGCTTAAAAGAAAAAACACTTAGTAATTTTCCACAACAGCACCCTTGCTGAAGCACCCAAGCCAAAATGACTTTCATTTATTTGGATCTACGAATGGTCCAAGTCCATGCCACGAAGAACAAGGAAGCAGATAAGATAGACGATGTTCTCACACCTCACCTTATAATCAACCACTCTGCATGACACAAGGTCAAGGTAATATGAAGGTCCTCCATGGACCTGCCAAGCAGCTAGCAGGAACAGCAGCCGGAGAAGTAATGGGCTGGGAAACCTTAAGCAGATCAGTCTGCCAACTTCTTAGTCGATGACCCTGATTAGAGACACTTTGGAATAGAACCTCTTTATGCCCCCATCTCACACAACTGTGAGAACTATATGGGCTGGGAAACCTTAAGCAGATCAGTCTGCCAACTTCTTAGTCGATGACCCTGATTAGAGACACTTTGGAATAGAACCTCTTTATGCCCCCATCTCACACAACTGTGAGAACTATATGGCAGTGGAGGTCGGCGCTTCTCCGCTTCTCAGCGGAGGTTGGCACTTCCACCAGGCTTTCAACTAGGTAG